TATATAATATATCACGAAAATGGTAACCGAACAAAAACATTCATCTGATAGTACACCTAGTGAACAGGGAGTTATCAAATACACAGAAAAATTAGCCCAGATATTTGGGCTAGATGAGCAAAATGCAAAAGTGTATAGTGCGCTTTTCAGTAAAAATACGGCACTAAAGAAACAATTAGAAGATTATCATTCCCAACCTAACACTTTAGAAAAGAGGGTAAAAAGATTGGAGAAAGATGTGAGATCCTTAAAAGACGAATTAAAAGATCTAGACGAATGTGTGGATAGGGAGGCTGTGGTCGACTTAATATAAGAAATAGTTCCCTCGCTAAATATCAAAAAATGTAAGGGTTTTCCCTATTCATCTGAGTCTTCAGAAGATTCTGATTCAGTTGAGATAATAAAGAGACCCCAAAAGGTATCAGGTAGAAGAGGTTATTCCTTATAAGCAACGAAGAAGGGCATGACGAAGAAAGGTTAAGCGGTTTGTGGTTTGAAATGATGAACTATATTTCGATTGAAAGATATTCTAACCATATAAAAATGCATATGTCAAATCTTCTTGAGCTTTTTCAACCAGAAATAATACCATTTATTCTAACGTATCTTTCAGGCTAAGATCTAAAACATGTTAGCAGTATAAATGATATATGGGAAAGTGAGGCAAATCTTGAATGGTCTAAAAGAAAGACTCTTTTCGATTTTCGTACTATGTCATTGGTTTAAGGCAAAAATACAGTCAAGGATTTTTATTTGAAGCTGAAAGAGTGTAACAAAAGTTTCAGCTATAGTGAAAATTTTCTTAAATGCGCATTATTAAAAGGATTATTATATGAGAATGCATTTAAAGTTCTTATAGATAGTTTACAGATGCTTACGTTAGATGAGATAGTGAAAAGACTTAGTCCAGATTAGTAATCGCATAATTTCCCCAAAGGTGCTTTGCTATTTTTTCGTTTGAAGATATAACATATAATACAGACTATTTATGGCGCAATCAAGAATTTTTATTATACCAGAACTATTAGAACAGATTTTACATTTTTTAGCGATAGATAAATCTCTCTATCCTACTCTATATGTTTCCCGATTGTGGTACAAATGCGGTGCTCCCATTTTATGGAGACGCATTAAGCTAAAGGGAGGGGAAGCAGAGTACTCTACTGATCTAACTAATCTGGAGCAATGATCATTTCGCTCGAAAGAAGATTTTGCTAGGCCACAACCATCAAGTCAGTTATTTTTTTACTTTGCTAAAATAAATTAGATATATTAATATAACTATAACACAGGCAATGGGCAATATAGCACAAGTCGATCAATCTGATATAGAGAAGTTCTGATGTGAGATAGAAAAGGTAGATAAAGTAGCATTTCCATTACAATTTGATAGCTTTGTAAGTGAATACATTAAGATGATAAAGTTACATGCTATTGGTATTAGCAAGGATTTAGATGATATAATCGTAAAAGTGAAATTCATTAGTGGATTATCACCTGACAATGAAAAGCGTGTGCATGAGTTTGGGGTTAAAAAACCTTTGTCCGAAATATTCGAACATTTACTTAAGCCTTCTTGTCCGGAATACTGATCATCAACCGAAGCGGTGATCTTCAGCTCGGAAGAATTTGCTGGGCCACAGATTGTGCGATAAAAGCAGGCTGATCACTAGACAGGTTTGTGCGACATTTTGCATATTAATTTCGCATATATGTTCGCTAACCAATACATCTATCTTTTTTTCCCCAAACAAATGTGAGAAAAATGTGAAAGGAGGTCTAGTTGCAACACAGGACCTACCGTAAAAGTAAATACCGATGGCAAAAGCATATGTTATGAAAGGCTGAGGGATTCGCAATTTCGGGATCGCCAGACGTAAGTCCAACTATATATCTTGCAAGGTAGATCTACATGTGAAAAGGTATGAGGATTCCATTTGCATGTGCTTTCAAAGAACTCTTGGCATCATACGACAATACTAATCATGCCTCATGCCTCCTTAACTTTTCCCAGCAAGATATAAAGCATGTAATGGTATGTGGAAGTTCAGCCAACCTTCCCGCAAAATTATTTCCTGTAAAATAACGCAAAACAAGGTATGTATATGCCAGAAGTTATGTATGTATGGGAGCGAGTTTTTTCTCACCATGGGCCTTGTATTTAGGAAAGCAAGATGGCTACCGGCAACACTAATAATATTTTAAGCCTTAATTGCATTATTCCTGGTGATGAATTCGAAGATATTTTCACGTTGGAGATATCTGAAGATAAGCTGGTCAACCAGCTCAAACCAATGATCAGAAAGTGGTAGCCAAACCGATTCCAACATATTGATCCGAGTAAACTTATTCTCTACAAATCATTTAATGAGAACATGGCTTTAGTTTTCATCGAAACCTTAAAAAAGGAGAAGGAGGGTAATAAGAATTATGGACAACGCTTGCCTCCATTGGAAAAGATCCGTATGCATTTTAGTAACGATCAAGAAATAAATCCCGTTAGCGTTAAGCCAAATGAAAATAGAGTTAGCATCGTTGTATGTCCCCCTGACAATAGTTAGAACTTTTTTATTCACACCAATGTAATAGCGAAGTATAGTCGCAATTTTTATGTAATGTAGGTCGGCTACCGGCAACGTTTTTTATTTCATAAATAAAGTATTATTTTATCGAAAGTATATGAGAAACGGGTCACGTGTGATGATGCAATGCCTGTGCGACATAAAAACCTATATTAACTTGCGTTCCCACCAGAAATAAAAACTCTATTTTCCTTCGGACGTAACACTATTTTTTACCGAGCCAAATGAAACTAGTACACCTTATACTCCAGCTTCCACCTCTACTACTGTTGCTGGAAATGAGACGGTCTCGTTGGCGGACGAAATTAAGAAATATAAAACGGAGGCTCTTATTGAATTTTTACAGAAGGAAGAGGACTTGGAACTTGAGGAGGAGGACTTAGAAATAATTCGCAAGCAAAGGGTTAATGGCCGTACCTTCTTCAAGATAACCAAAGAAGAGCTTGAGCGTCATGGAATGAAATTGGGACCTGCAACAGCTCTCGTGGACTTTGCTAAGGAGTGTAAAGAGAAGAAGTTGAGGGCTTTTTCAGCGTACCGTAAGTATTAGCGGATTATGGTTACAATTCCGATGGCATAGAAGCAATTCCACTTTTCTCTCCGCCAGCCTATGTAATCCGAGACGATGATAAGTATTTTGAGGAATGTATAACGGAAATTAATAAGAGGCTGAGAGATTATGGAACTCTACGTCCGGATAGTTTGGAAGCCATGCGTAATGAGTATGTTGCGTCAATACTCCATACCGCACTCCATATCGTCATGGACGACACAAATAAAGAGTTTAGCATGCGTCCCCAGCATGAAAGTATTGGAGAAAAAAGTTCCGGACGAGTCGATTACGCAATAAAGGTATGGCATAGTTATTTCTTGATGGATTAACAACACTGCTTTCATACTAATTTTTCGTCTCAGGAATCTGAGGATCTTATTTGCATCACGGAAGATAAACAGCATAAAGTTCCCATGGGCTTTGCACAGAATATCAAACAACTCGAAAGCTCATATGAGACGAACAAGAGAAAACGAACCCGGGATGAAGCTTTTGGCGGAGATGACTTTGACTATCTATATGGTATAGTCACAACGACAAGGGATTGGCATTTTTTATTGTATAGTCCTGGCGAAATATCTCAGGCGAGTGAAGCCCCCTTTACCATCGAATTTAACAAGAAGGCCCTGGAGAAAAATTCCGAAGAATATCAGGCATTACATAATGGCGTGAAGAAGGTCTTGGGAATGATTGTTGGGTTGTTAAAAGATAGGGCATGTGTTGCTAAATCACCTTCTAGCAAGCGGGTTAGGATAGAGGGATATCGATCGAAAAAATAATCATGTATAATAGCCTAGACGTCATGTATCATTTCGGAGTAGCTAGTCCCGAACATTTGTATTTATTTTTCGCATGTATTAATAAAAAATTTTCTTGGCAAAAGTGCGTGAATTTTTTTCACGCTGTCACATGATTTTTATTTTATTTGAATGCTATATATAGTTCATGAAAGAGAATCCCGAATCAAAGAGTTAGAAAAAGTAAAATGGATACTGTTACTGAGAACGCCGAACTTAATAAAGCCAGAGATGCGAAATTGGAGCAAGTGAGGCAAGAACAAGCTGAACTCTTAGCTAGAATTATAAAACTAGAACAGGCGCAGGAACGTGCTAAACTCTTAGAGAGAATCAAAAAACTAGAACAAGATCAGACAGAAAGAGAAGCTAAGAAAAATCGCAAATTTCAGACTAGATGCATCCAGATAGCTAAGGAAATTCTTAAAGAGGAGCCCATGATCGAGTATCGCCCTCCTTTCTTGAATGGATTAGAGCTTGATGCCTTCTTCCAAAAATATCGAATTGCATTGGAAGTGCAGGGGGCTCAGCATCGGCTTCATAACACTAGCTGGTATAAGGATGTTAAAAAACTCGAAGATATCGTTAACCGTGATCGGAAAAAACGATGCATATGTCAAGATAATGGAATTTCCCTTCTTGAAGTATGGTACGATGAAAAACCGGAAATCGTTATTCCTAACAGGATACAAAAAAATTAAGGAGTTTGTTTGTCTAGTATCCAAAAGTTTTGATCTCCTATAATCAATAACTTTATAATAAACATATATAAATGCAATACATCTGAGACGATATGAGAAAGGATAGATTAATATCACGTGATGATATATAATTTAACATATTACGCCAATCATATTGCTTAATTTTGTGCGCGTTAAATAATCTAAATCGCCCGCGTTTCCTAGTTTTAGTACATATTTTTTCCTCTAAATGTCTGCTATAGAAGATAAGATTTCTCTACCCTCTAATCTTAAATATGAAGGTGAGTTCCTACTTTTTCACAACCACCAACATTTACACATTTTGAGTCGCATATAACTTCCGATTTATAGAATACTGGTTAAGTACAAACCTTCAACAATGGTCGGTTGAATCGTTCGACATGTTCTGGATTCAGAAAAATCCAAGTCTTCATCAAAAAAAAGAACAGGCTCATTCTTCGTTAGGCGACGAGTTAATAATTCTCGCTGGCGCATCTGATAAACGAGTGGCGGAGAAAGCACAGTCATTAAAGAAATTGCTCAAGGTCAGTTGCATATGAAATGGAACATCAGCAAAGTTACATGTCACTACGCCCCTCGATGCTGTCGAGGAGGGTTTGGATGCTGTCTTAACCCGATGGGGAGGAGAAGCGCGACGGCTTCATCCATTATATGATTCTTTCGCGTGTGTACATGTTAACTAGTGTACTACGCCCCTCGATGCTGTCGAGGAGGGTTTGGATGCTGTCTTAACCCGATGGGGAGGAGAAGCGCGATGGCTTCATTCATTATGTGATTCTTTCGCGTGTACACTTCTATTGTTCAATATCAGAAAAAAAACAAATATTTTTTCATCAATAATTCTCTATGCTTTAACTTTTTTACCATTTTTATTAGAATTATAAAACGTCAGAAATAAGTAATATCATTTGGGATAGTAGTGAAGAGATCGCAAAGTCCCAAGTTCGTCTAACGCTTAACGAACTATTAACTAAGGTGATTCAAGGTTGAGTGTTACTACGAATTTTGCAATTGGTCTGCTTATAATTTATTTAAAATTTTCCAGATGAATATCAAAACATCTTTTGTCGCTGAAATCGGCAGTTCCAAACGTCCTTCAAAATCTATGCAAGACAATAATGCAACTGCTTCAGATAGTAATAAAAAGGTCAGTGCAGAATAAAACCCGCTGATAGTTTTTGCCCGCAAAAGTTCTCACATTTTTCTACCTTCTGGATATAAACAGATTAAAACTACGAATACAGATAAAATTGAATCGGATTATAATGGCCTGGAAGAGAGTGAGGTGCAACTGATTGATAGAGTGCAAAGTGAAGAATTAGCTTCAGTGGTAAGCATTTGATCTGTCAGCATAACAAGGAATATGTCATAATGGAAAAGCTAATGTTTTCATTGTTCTTTTATTTTCGCAGGAGAAGCCTAATGTTACAAGACGGCTAGATGGTACGAAAGAAGACAATACAGAAGAAAATTTTATAAATTCAGTGATCCATGCCTCAAACACTTTCGGTCAAGTTCAATTTCCAATATATTATAGTAAACTTAAATATTTATGGGATAATCAAGATGCTGTAGCTTATCATGTAATCGATTTAGGGAATAAAGAGATATTGACTCAGGTTCATGAACTTTTAGATGAGGATGAGTTGAAATTGTTATATAATAGGTTAGTATTAGATGACGAGAATATGTACATAGACGAAAAGACACGTAAATATTTAGAGCTGTTTGATCGGATTATAGAGGAGGAGGATGATGATGAGAACTTTGAAGACGATGAAGTTGTGGACGAGGTAGCAGGCAATGAGACAAAAAATATGAAAGGAGAAAGCGAAAACTTTAATGAACTAATTGATGAAATGGAAGGGAAAGTGCGTCAACTGAATGGCTTACCCGAAAAATATCATTACCTTTCCAACACCTTTCCCATACCGGCACAACATTACGATCAATCCAAAATGCCAGATATGTTTATCATTAAGAGTGTATCTAGTCACCTCGATACTATCATAAAGATGAATGGAGCCATGATAAACACCCCTGAACGTACATGGACTGCTCATGTACTAGCATATCTGTTTTTTGTTACATTTTGTTTCATCGACTCATTAAATTATTTTTCATGTGAACGAAATATTGCTACAAAAATTGATGTCCCCGAAAATGATTTTAAAGCCGATGGTGTGTTGGAACTTTTCGAGCGACCAATTCAAATTCCGTTATTTTTGCTCGAGGTATCGGAAGGTCCCAAAAATCCGGATCCAGACAAAATTAATGAAGATAGGCAGAAGTTGATGAAAGAGGGCGTTTTTGCTATTAATAAGTTTATGACGAGAACGAAACTGCCAACGTGGGAAGTGTGTAGTAAATTGAAAGTTTTTTTGGCTCAAGGATTTAGTAAGTTCTTTCAAATGTTTTTGCGACCACAAATATTTCCTCGTTTTAGTACTTAATATATTGCCTATTTTCAGGCGATAATGTTGAAATCGGCCAAATGATTTTTATTGGACCTGGCTTGTATTTGTTTGCGCCATTTACAATTCCGGCTCTCACTATCCCAACTTCGACTGATAACTTAGAACATGTGTCTCGACTTATTCGAGCACTCTTATGTTTACGATATAATGTTCTTAAGGAGATTAAGATATTTAAGAAGTTTGCAAAAGAAGGACAGCGGTATATTGCGAAACCTTTAATTAAGTATGCAACTGGTGTCACACCAGGACGGCATAAAGCTGTGACGTTTGCGGAATTTCTACCGAAATTATCAAGAGAAGGAAAGAAGAGAGAGAGAGGAAGAGGAAGGGGAAGGGGGAGGGGGAGGGGGAGGGGTCAGGAAGCGTAGGATTCTGTATAAATTTATTTTTATATAATGATTATACATTTCGAGGGCTGAAATGAACTGTAAAAAAGTTTCTATTTTCTTGTATCAGTAAAGATAATGGTTAATTTCAAAATTTGAGAACTCACACGTTTATTTTATTAAGTTGTATTTGTCAGTCAAAATCTCGTGTGACGTATTAAATTTTTGCTCGTTTTTGGTCATGTGAGAATAAACACACGAAAAAATATTCTCGAAATAACTCGAACTCTTGTTATGTGTGTTTGTATTCCGAAAGTTAATTCATGCTTGCTTTGTGAAAACGAGTTTATCTCACATCTATCTGCAGTCTACACCAATCGATTTAAGTAACGTTGCTAATTAATCTGTATGTAATAAAGGATTTACAATGGCTAGGGAATATTTATCTGTGATTGTGGGAACCGATTATGTAATTGCCGAAATTTTAGTTCGATAATGTACTGCGCCATGTGATTAATTTATTTTTCTGAGCCCGGACACAGATATTCGGAGATAAATTTAACCAGATGCTGATCTCGCTTCTGCGCAATTTTGACGAGCTCGGATACTGTGTCCACCAGAAAAAAAATAGAATTTCGCTCACGTGTATTTTCAAACATATATTAATAAAGCATTACCATATCAGGTTTTATTTTAAAGTGTGTTCTGCATGCGTCAATGATCACTTCTAAATATGATATATTACGGAAAATAATTTGCCGAAGGTACTGCGCAACTTTGACGAGCTCGGACAAGCTTGTCCGGACTCTACCATCAAAAAAAATAAATCGCACAGTTATTTCGGGGGATAAATTTAACCTGATGCCCACAAGTTTCGGAAGATAAATTTAACCGGATGTTGATCCTGGTTCTGCTCAATTTTGATGAGCTCGGACAAGCTTGTCCAGACTCTACCAACAGAAAAAATAATATTTTTTTGCACATGCATTTTATTCGTAATCGTTTTCCCGAATTCCATTAGATCAAAGGCTATCCGGCTAAAGAAAAAATCTGAAACCTGGTTGGCCGATCATCTCGTGATTTATAGAAACTCGCCAGCGCCCACGGAACTCTCCTAGAACTATCGAGGAACTGTTGTGGAACTGGCAGAGAGCTAGGGTGATACATGTGATATGATATACGTCATGGATCTGAGAATAATTTAGCTATTATATTATCTCGGAACTAATTTAACTGAATTATGACATATCGGGAAAACCCCAGAGATCTACAAACTGTTTTACATGCATGTGAATATGTACAGCACCTTCGGCTAAATCCCGATATACTTGTAATCGAATAAAAAATGAATCTGATATTTTAT